GACTAATCCAGGACTAAATCAGGACTAAAAATAGGACTGAACCAGGACTAAACTAGAACTAAAACCAGGACTAAACCAGAACTAAAACCAGGACTGAACTAGGACTAAACCAGGACTAAACCAGAACTAAACCAGGACTAAACCAGAACTAAAACCAGGACTAAACCAGAACTAAAACCAGGACTAAACCAGAACTAAAACCAGAACTAAACCAGGACTAAATCAGGACTAAACCAGAACTAAAACTAGTACTAAACCAGGACTAAATCGTGACTAAATCAGGACTAAACCAGGACTAAATCGTGACTAAACCAAGACTAAAATCAGGTCTAAACCAGGTCTAAACCAGAAATAAAATCAACCAGGTCTAAACCAGGTCGGCTCGGCTGTTTTACATACTCTAAGAAGTGGCTCACATTCATCCGATTTGAAAACCCCTGGTCTGTGGTAAAAAAGCAAACTCAATCTTCACTTCATCTTGTCCAAATCATTGGCAAAGTTGACATCAGAAGGTGGACCAGAGTGTTTTCTGTCTGAGAGAAGAACTCGGCCTAAAAATGGAGGTGTTGTGTGTTAAACATGTGAACGAATCAAAACACAAGTCAAGGCATGATTGTAATAAGGAAACAAGATTATATCATAGTGTAATACTGGTCCTTTAACAATACAGCTACGTGTTCTTGTGCTGGGCTAACAGGCATTCACACTCTTCTCCATTATTGCCGCGTGAGTCATGTCCACATCCATCTGGCTCTGCACTTCAGAAATAATAGCTGTCACTTTGGGTTGCACTTACTGAACACTGAACCCACATTTGAGACTCTGGCTATTCAAATGTCCATGGTCAGAAACCTTTTGAAAAATACACCTTCATACCTGCATGACTGGATCTAGGTTTTTGGTGGGGTAAATAAAGTTTTTTTTTTAAATAGTTTCACAAGAGTTGTAGTTTTAAAGTGTCCATATTATGCTATTTTATGATCTGTTTTAATGTTGTTTCCTTATCGCAAACATACTTGGAGTTGGAAGAGAACATTTTGAGCTTTAGAAATGTAGACGGACTAATAATAAAGGGTGTAATAAACATGTGAAAGAAACAAAATACAACTCCAAGTGTGTTTTTTGAAGAGGTAACAACATTATCGCATGGCTTAAAGCTCAGAAGAGTAAATTTTGCGTAATATAGGATTATTAACGGTACAATGTGTAACTTTTCAGGTGAAGGATTTGCTGTGTGTTTGTTTCCATGGAGGTGTAATTGCATTGCCTGATTCATTGGCTGGTTTCACTTTGTGGAAACCGTCTAACCTCGCAGCATTAGGATTCGCTCGACATTAGGCAGGTACTTTTTTTAATTTAACCAATCGCTGCTATTTGGTCGTGACGTATGTAATGTGCAATGTGTAAGATGCAAGTACTTTGTCCGGAATGTTCCACAGTTTGTTATTAATTACTTATATTATATTATGCAAAATTGACTCTTGTGAGCTTTAAGCCATGTTATGTTTTTATCGCCTCAAAAACAGACCTGGATTTGTGTTTTGTTTGATTCACACATTTCTGATTTATCCTTTATTATTAGTCTGTCTATGTCTCCGAAGCTCAAAACTTAACAGCATTTACCTTTAGTTCAGTAGAGATGGGCAATTCCAGGGCTGAAATGATCCAAATGATTCTAGTGAAGGTGTATGGAGTTTAAAAACACAGTGGCGGACTTCCTGTATTACCGCATGACATCACAAAAGAAAAACTTAGCCTAAGTATGCAAGATCAGTCATTACGTCTATTCCGTTAACGGGGCTAACTTGTATATTAAGCTTTTCCCAAATCTCGTAAGAAGAAGGGCAATAACGTCTTTCCCCTTGATAAAACTCACCAAACATTCTCTTTGTCCTCGATCTCGGGAATCGTTGCCAACACAGAATACATGGCTCTTCGCTGATTAGCTGGAGCCCGGACTCTCACTGCCGAGGTTTTTGCAAACCGTCTAGTGTATTCTGATTCCTGACCTAGTCGCTGGAGAGAAATGAAATTGAGCGGAGGCACTAGATAGCACCAGCCTGACTATTAATTGCATCATTGCCTGGTATGTTTTACAATATGAAATTAAACTTTTAAGCAGGTAGCACCTTGCCAAATTAGAGGTCAGATCTGAGGAGAGACGATCCCGTTCACAATAAGAATGAATTTTGCAATGCTCAGGATATAGATGATACCATGGAACATTCCAGGCAAAGCAGCACCTCTATAATAGTAAAGAAGGTGGCAAACCTGTCACCCTCCTCCAGTATGGAAATCCTCTTTTCAACATAAACCTGAAAATATCAAAGCTCTTTTATGGTTGAGTACAGAAATGATGACTTCTTAATGGTATTTGTGGTTTTAGACAAATTATTTGATGTTCCTGTGAGAATCTTTTTGTCTTTCTGTGAGAAAATATAGTATTTTAATCTAAAACCTTAATTACTATGGCGATGGAGGACTGCTGCCAAAGCTTCAAACTAGTGATGGACCGAACAATACCAAATATCTGTATATTGATACTGACTGAGCTATCAAAAAGTAGTGATTCACATGCAAAAATATTGATACTGAGGTGGAAGGGGGAGGAGAGGATTAATGTTTCAATGCATGTTAATACAAAGGTTATGATATCACAATATTATGCCATAGTATTACTTGGTATCCTGAAATATTGTGATACTGAACTTTCACAGAGGAAAATCACCAACTGAACACTGAATATGGAGTTTTTGGTTAAAATCTTAACTCTAAAAACTGTCAAACTACCATGACCTTTATAACTTTATATTCTCCCCGACACTTTCAACCGCAACTTTCACCACATCTCACCCCACATCTCCGAAGAATGTTTAGTATAGCGTTTGTCCGAGACTAGATGTCTTCTGTGCCACTGTGTCTGCTCCTGTGTCGCTCGCCCACTCTCTTTGTCACCCGCAGAGGAAGTGAGATAGTCTGGACCTGGTGTTAAACTCAAATGTAGGTCGGCCAGCTGTCCCACAATCCTTCAGTTTATCTTATATCACTGTGGTGTTACGAAACAGGCAGATGGTACATGCGAAGAGCTGCTGAGATTCCCTGATTAGCTTTATGATTATTCCACCAGCAGCATTGGTCGGTCAAAGGTGCATTGTGCAGCTTTTCTGCTTGTCTCCATGGAGATGCAAGTACTTTATCTGGAGTGTTCCACAGTTTGTTATTAATTACTTATATTATATTATGCAAAATTGACTCTTGTGAGCTTTAAGTTATGTTATAATGTTGTTACCTCCTGAAAAACAGACCTGGATGTTTTGTTTTATTCACACATTTTTGAGTGATCCTTTATTATTAGTCTGTCTACATCTCTGAAGATCAAAAAACTTAACAGCATTTTTCTTTAGTTCAGAAGAGATAGGCAGTTCCAGGGCTGAAATGATCCAAATGACTGTAGTGAATGTGTATGGAGTTTAAAAACACAGTGGAGGACTTCCTGTATTACCACATGACATCACAAAAGAAAAACTCAGCCTAAGTATGCAAGATCAGGCATTATATCTATCGCACAATGGCAATGATTGTGACTTAACTAGGACTCCAACCGTGATCATACCAGCCTGATCCCGTCAGATCTTAGGAGCTCAGCAGGACCGGGTCTGGTCAGTACTTGGATGGGAGACTGCTGTGAAAATCAGGTGCCACAGGGGGGCGCCAGTCACAAAAACTCTTGTTGTGTCCTTATGTCCTTCACCCACATTGCCTAGTATGAAAGTGGTGTGTGTGTTTGAGTGATGGTGGTGGCCGGAGGGGCCAATGGTGCAGACTGTCAGCCTTGCTTCTGTCAGTCTGTCCCAGGGCAGCTGTGGCTACAATAGTAGTTTACCACCCCTGGATGTGGAGTGACTGAATAATGTTCTGTAAAGCATCTTTGTGATAAATGTCTGTGAAAGCACTACATAAATAAAAACTTACTGACTTACTTACCTGAAGGAAGAATTTTTAATTTAACAGCATTTACCTTTAGTTCAGTAGAGATGGACAATTCCAGGGCTGAAATGATCCAAATGACTGTAGTGAAAGTGTACGCAGTTTAAAAACACAGTGGAGCACTTCCTGTATTACCGCATGACATCACAAGGTGGAACAGAGTGTTTGAGAGAAGAATAAGTATGCAAGATCAGGCATTATCTCCATTACCTTAATTATCTCAGGGACTCCAACCAAAAATCTTCTAGTTTTGGGGTAATATCACTGTTAACTGAATCATTAACTATTATATTTCCATTTAAAAAGTTACTGTTTATTTTGTACCATCATAAACGATAAACTTTGTGCCTAGATTAACATTATTATTAGTTTGTACGACTATAAACGAAAATATGTTTCTGCATGTATGTATATGTTGTTATGCATGTGTGTAAACATTTATATGGAGTATATCTACTGGATATCTATGTTTATATGTATGTTTGTATGTACATATGTGTGTACTTGCATATGTATTTAAGTATATGTGGATATGTTTTTGTATATATGTGGGTATAATTTTTTGCAAATGGCAGGTACGCACTCCAAAGGTGATTAAAAAATAAAAAAATAAAAAAAGTGAACCACGTGATTATGTAAAACGATTGGGGTAGGACTCCATACGTTTTTTAAAATTCATCTTACTCCTTTTGAGCACCAGGTCCCAAATATGTCAGGTATATATCACTATTTTTGTTATTGTTTTTGAATTTTGTTGTATCTGGCTCAAACAAAGAAATAAATGAATGAAAAAGTAAAAAAAGCTAAATGATTTCTTTATAGATTTTTTTTTATATTTTATTGTTTTTGTACTACTTTAATTGATTTATTATGACTTTGTAGAGTTAAATGTCTTACAGTGCTCTGTCCAGCACTTTGGAAACTGTCTTGCTTATAGAATGTGCTAAACTTGGATTGGATTTCTATACACACTTTTCTATACAATCTTAACTTCTTAAAGACAACAACAGCAGTTCTTGGCTGTACGGATTTTATTAAAGTCTATAAAAACACTATGTACATTTGTTCAGGTAGACAACAGTGAGTCAAACTTGTTCCACACCACTAATAAATCAAAACTAGATTCCTTCTTAGATTTTAATATCTCTTCATTGGGTTTGTCCTACTTACACTTTGTACAGAGCGGCATGGATAATCTGATCCAATAAATAGTGTGGAGAGAAAAAAAAAACAGTTTTAAGCTTGTATTAATCATCTTTGTTAATAGGACTGAAGGTTGAGTTTCCTCCTGAAGCCTCCTGATCACCATGGCAACGCGTGGAGATGAGATGACCCCCGAGATTAGATTCTGTCAGAGAAAGAAAAAAAAAACATCATCAGCGGATTCATTTACAGTAAACATGCCGCTGTGTTAATAACCCTGCATTGTTTCAGTTAGAGAACAAATGCAATCCTTTAAATGTCAGAGATGTGTGACACAACACAGAATAACATTTCATTTGCATCATTTGTGTCATTTTTGTGATTGCCTTGTTTGTCATTTTTGTTTCAGTTTACAACATAGCCGGTGTCCTGTCGATTTGAGCTACCTAGCGTTATTGCAGTGACAAATTATTCTGAATTACTTTCCGAGGTGGCATCTAGTTGAAGCCGTCACCATATCTTCTTTTGCCTACCTCCCTAAACTGAGATTAAAAAGCTCCGAAAACTCGACCGCTTTAAAGGTGCACTATGTAACTTTTCGTTTGGGGGTCCATCACCTGCTTATTTGTATGGATACATCATTGCTCTGCCTGGAATGTTCCACAGTATGGCATTAAATAGCTCTGCCTTACATTTATTCAATTACAGGTGGTTTTATAGCTCAAAAATACCTCGAAAACAGGCATTCTGACTGTGAGTAGGGTCGCCTCTCCACAGATCTGACCTGTAACTTAGTCTGGTTTGGTCTCCATGATGATAAAAAAATTTTATGTCATACTGTGAAACATTTCAGATGAAGCAATAACATCTCAGTGATGAAAAGCACTGGACGAACACACAGTTTATATATAAAGTGAAGTCCTTTGCGTCTCTAATCCAATACTTGATCTTCTAGAAACAGATTTTGAGAATATTACAACTGAAATGTACGAAAATGAACACTTACAGACAAACATACGCAGACACATGCCACACATCGCCACCACGCTGGAGATCTGCAGAGCTCTCCCGCACTCCGGACTCATCAGACAGTTCCGGGTTTGGATGCAGCATTTGGGACAGCCTCCTCCAGAACTTTCCTTCTCTTTGGACTTTTTGGGCTGGGAGTCAACCACCTTGGAGGGCTTGTCGTCTTCCGGATACGTCTCCAGGTCCCTGTCATCCCACTCCTCTCCTGCGCCTTTACCCATGATGTTTTGCAAACAGGTGTGAAGATGTACAGCTGTGGGATTACAAAAAAGACGGGAAATCGATTAAACACTATACTTGAGTTTTTATACTTTGTTCATTATGTTATATGACGCCCACTCATCTCCCTGTGTTGTTTGTGGTAATGGCTGCTGTAATGCGAGGGCTTTATGGAGACTCAGATGCACTTGATGTATATTAGTCATAATGTTTATGCCGAAGCCCACACTGAGAATGTGTTACACAGAACAAATTAGAAAGTTGTACAATTAGACAGACTGTATTACTCGTAAAATAATGGCACCACATTCTCATCCACCATATGCTGAAAAGTTGTGCAGCGGCAGAAACATCTATAAATAGTTTTGGCCTTAAGAATTCAAATAGACTGCTTAAAAAAAAAAAAAAAAAAGTATGACAGAAATTCCGAGGGAGCGCATAGGCCTGTTGTTTTGGTTTTAACCTTACATGGAGACAAACGGACAGCACCAAAACAGGTCTGTCATGTTTTTTGAGTTAAAAGACATTCATATGTTATAAGGTCAATAAGTTAGTTAAAAGTTATAAATAAGTTCATTCTTAGTAAATAAATAGGTTCATTTCATATCTGCAAAGTGTTAAAAGATTTGGGTAAAACTATCAGAGTGAGATATCTTCACCTTTAAGGATCGTTTTATTTTCAGTACAGAGTGAGCGCTCTTGAGTCACATTTTTTTCTGCTCTCGGTAGTTTTACGGCAAATGAAGTCTGAAAATCGCTCTTGTACACGCTGATTGTGTTCTAAAAGTTTGAATCTTGGAAAACTTTCATCTTTGTAAATATTATATGTTCACAAGCATTTTGATTGAGGTCACATATTGTATTTTATTTTGTAAATAGTGAACTTGTGTTTTTTTCACTGAGTTATCTACTGCCGTATTACACGTGCATAAGATAGCTACTTGTATTTTGTGCACTAAATGTACTGTGTAGCAAATAATATGCCTTCTTTTTTCTGTATGATCCAGTTACATTTATATATACTAGAGACCTCCATAAAAGCAAAAGTACGCCTTGTGTATGGGTTTTTTTTTATTGTTCACTAGCTGTCTAGCTTCACATAGTCACGTGTTGTGAGGACAGCACAGATCTGTTATAGGTGTAAATTTAATCCCATGCTGTGGAACATTCCATGCAGGCAAAGCAAAATAACACCTCAATGGAGAAAAGCAGATAGTGAAATAATAACAATACATCATGGCCAGTTAGTTTTAGAGAATTGTTCATTCTAAATTTTTTACTCCATCCATCCATCCATTTTCTTCTGCTTATCCAGGGCCAGGTCGCGGGGGCAGTAGCCTAAGCAGGGACTCCCAGACTTCCTTCACCCCAGACACGTCCTCCAGCTCCTCCGGGGGGACCCCGAGGCGTTCCCAGGCCAGCCGAGAGACATAGTCCCTCCAGCGTGTCCTGGGTCTTCCCCGGGGCCTCCTCCCGGTGGGACATGCCCGGAACACCTCCCGAGGGAGGCGCCCAGGAGGCATCCGGAACAGATGCCCGAGCCACCTCAACTGGCTCCTCTCGACGTGGAGGAGCAGCGGCTCTACTCTGAGCTCCTCCCGTGTGACTGAGCTCCTCACCCTATCTCTAAGGGAGCACCCAGCCACCCTGCGGAGGAAACTCATTTCGAGCGCTTGTATCCGCGATCTCGTCCTTTCGGTCACTACCCAGAGCTCATGACCATAGGTGAGAGTAGGAACGAAGACTGACCGGTAAATCGCGAGCTTCGCCTTTCGACTTTTTTACTCGCTTTTTTTAAATTCATAATCTTCAGTGAATGTCTTTCCTAAGAAATGAAAGCTGGTGCTATTTATGAGTTTCAGAATTATGAAAATTTTGAACTGTTGGATATTTTGTTGTAAATGGCTCTCTATTTAATGTAGCTTAAATCTATGAAAAGGTAACAAACCAATTCTCAAGGAACAGTCTGGAATTTTGGACATAGGATGTCATTTCCTATTGAGCCAGAGTGTTGGAGACGTGTGGAGACACTTTTTTCAATATTCCATCCAGTCCTTGTATTTGCAGTGGTCGCTGGTGCTAGGCTAGTGCATGTCAATGGTCATAGTTATCCTGCCACTAAAAACAGTCTTACCCACTCCACAAAACACCCGAAGCAAATCTATTATTACACCAGACTGTCCATGTAAATGTTTGTGTTGATAGAATAATTTTAGAAGTAAAACCAACCTTGCATTTGATGGATTTATGTCTGAACAGCAGCGGCGAGTTCCTGATAGAAAGCTTGGCAGCGGCGGACTGATATATGAGAAAATAGTCCCTCAACATGCGACGATTCATGCGATGCAAGGTTACTTTTATTTCAAACATTATTCTATCAACACAGACATTCACATCAACAGTGTGGCATATTAACAGATTTGTTTTGGGTGTTTTGTGGAGTGGGTAAGACTGTTTTTAGTGTCAGGATAACTATGGCCATTGACATGCACTAGCCTAGCACCAGTGACCTCTGCAAATACAAGGATTGGATGGAATATTTAAAAAAGTGTCGATGTAGTGTATCATTCACATTTGTCCATTTCACACAGATTTGTAGAGCTCCTGTACCTTTGATAAGTCTTTGAATATACATTTTGCTCTGTATCATAATGCAATGTGATGGTATGGAGCTAAACGTGGTAGAATGACTTAAATTTGTAGTAAAAATTTCTGCCTTTATCGTGTTTTTGTGCTAAATGGGAAATCATTTAGCACAAAAACCTGATTTGAACTTTCCAAATGAGTAAGCCATGAGTTATTTTGTTATTGTGCTTTCACCAGTTTAGAGAACTCTTTCAACCAGCCGTACTACATTCTTCAAATTCCCTTTTCTCATCCTCTCCACCAAACGCCTCACGGGCTTCCGCTGCTTATAATATCAAACCACCTCGCTGTACATTAGCATCGCTGTTTAGTCCAAATGAATGCGTACGCTCAGTAAACACAATCCATAACGCTGACAATGGAATTTTCCCTGTGAGTAAAAGCGTATCATTAACACTGTGCTTAAATCCCTTATGGGGGTCTTATTGACTGAAGTCCCATTGAACTGACAGATGCGCTCTTCTTCCAGTCTGATGAACACTGGTCCTGCCTCGAGAATCACTCTGTCTCTTAAGTGTCTGTTACGATGGCTCCCCACAGACTTTACGCTGTATTAAGTGATAACCCTGACGCTAAAATAACATCCCATACACCGGCGCCCCATTTATTTAACACTGACACTAAAGTAGATTGGTGGCACGCAAGTGATTCGACGTGAACCTTTTCAAGCTTTCCCAAAGTGCAGGTTGGGTTTTAATCAGATGTTACTCTTGCAAAAGTATGTGAGAGATTTTAAAGATGCATTGTGTAGGTTTTCTGGGGATATGCTTTTAGGGATGTCAGTCAAAATACTTCAGATTTAAAAGTGCTTAACCTTTACAGACTTTTGACCCGGACCAAGAAGTGTCTATACCAAATTTTGAACTTTTAGAAACGTCTAAATAAATTATCCCACTTGAATAAATATATGTAAAATATAAATATAATGTTTCAGAAAGCAGGAAGAGCATATTTTTTAAGGTTTTACAACACTCATAAGGATGACATTCTTGTTCTTTTGCATGTATGAGACAACTGTGGTGTCCTGAGTGAAATCAAACTTAGAAGAAAAGATGTGTCTCCCACTTGATTGACTTGTGTTCCTTTTGTGCTCCATAAACAGGATGATCACTCCTTTCACTGTTTTGAGATTCCACTTTTCCCTTTCAAAACCAACAGGCGTCTAATTCTGGGAACCTGGGGCATGGGGGAATCTCAAAACAGTGAAGTCTCGAACTCTGTCATCACTGAGGTGTAACGATATCCAAGTGTGATGATATGATATCATCACGGTATCAACCTCACAGTACGATATTTATTGTGATATCGCGGGAAAAGCTCACGATTAGAGATGTAACAATATCCAAATCTCTCAGTACGATATTTTCACGATATACATCTCACAGAACGATATTTATTGTGATATTTTGTGGAGGCTAAACAGCTCAAACTGTAAATATTCTACTTTTTTCTCTTAAAATGCCTTGACAAGACTTAAGCCAAAGAACTAAAGACTTGAAAGTGTTTAGAACTCTTATTTCTTCTTGTAGTCTACACTGAAATGGAGCAAAGGATCATGGTCTATGTAGTTTCCTCTGTCTTTTTTTAGCTGTTGCTGCACCATAACTCTTCATTTAAGCAAAGAAACTTGTATTTCAATATATTGTGATGGTCCATGATATTATTGTGAGAACTTCGACGATACAATACCACGATATTTTGGTTATTGTTACTGTCCCATTAAAAAATACACACAAACATGGTCTGTACAGTTCCACAGTTTCAAGATTCCCTAAAACTTCTATTTTCCTTCTTTCGACCCGCACTGATAAATCTAAAATCCATCTCAGTAGATTTGGATCAAAATTGACACGAACCAGCCTCAGTGTCCAAAAATTTGTAGCACCTGTACAAAAGTATACAGTTTTAAATTATTTTCATTTTTGGGTATTTTGGCAAAATTTAGGAAAAGTCATCAAATTTCAGAATAAAAGAATGACGCTTAGGGTATTTTTTACTACTGTTAAATGTCAAAATGTTTCAAATTTAACCCTAGTAGTAGTATGTAAGGTTTACTAACAGTATTTCATCATGTAGATTGGGCTGAAGCAGAGCAAAGCATCATGGTCTATGTAGTTCTCTTTGTTTTTAGGCCCATGATATTATTGTGAAACTTTTGACGATGCGATACCGTGATATTTTGGTTACTGTTACATTCCTATATGCTACTGCTTTAGCTGGAATGTTCCACAGTGTGACATTAAACTTATCTATCGCCGCAGAGATAAACAGGTGGCACGATCAAGCAAGTTACAAGTCAGATCTGTGGAGAGGTAGACTCACTCACAAGATATTTTTTTCATTTTCTAGTTATAAAAACACCCGTAATTGAGATAGACGTTATATAGATGTTTAATGCCGTACTGTGGAACATCCAAGGCAAAACAATCATTTCTGTGGAGACAAGCAGGAGCCAGAGCCTACAGCAGAAAAGTTACACAGTGCGTCTTTAAATGAGGAGTAAAGAAAGGTTGATCCCTGAGCTCGATTGATGAGAAGCAGAGAAATAAATGAGCACAAAGAGAATATATATATGCATAAGTCTTCACATTAAAGGCGCACTGTGTAACCTTTCTAGCAAAGTGTATGCCATCTGCTTGTCTCCATGGAGATGTCATTTCTCTACCTGAAATAATCCACAGTGTAAGATTTAGTGTATTTATCCAGATGAAAACAAGCAGGTGGAGCCATGTCAAGTTACACGTCAGGATTTTTAAGCAATAAAAATACCTGTAATTAAACAAATGTAAGATGGCGGAGTTTGATGCCTAATTGCGGGACTTTCAAGGCAGAAACCAGAAACCAGAAAAGTTATGCAGTGTAACTTTCATGCAGTAATGTGATCAGTCAGTAGCGACAGGGCTGTGCATTTAATTTCTATTACAATTATGATTCTTGCTCTAATCTATGCAACATTTGAATAAAAGTGATTTTAGTTGTGATTTAGAGAAAAAAGTAATTACTGTTTTTCACCACAATGAAGGTCCAAGTAGGCAAGAGCTACCAGATTAAAAATGATCCAGCTTTTGTGTACTGATAAAATAGATTAGGACTTGAGACTTGACTTGATAAAATGGACTAAGACTTGGGACTCGACTTGGACTTGAAGGTCAGTGACTTGAGAAGACTTGAAAAGCACTTTTAAATCTGAATTCTTTCTGTGTTTTGACTGTAGTGATTCACTCTAAGATCTTGTCAAGACATTTAAAAAGGAAAAAAATTGCATTTGTACAACTCTTATGTACTCTATAAATACTCATATATAAATATACTCTGATTTTTAAAGTACAGTTTATCTTAAAAGTCATACAAACTGCAAAAATCTAAGCTGTATTTGGTTTAAAGACTTGAAATGACTTGAAGCTCAAAGCAGACGACTTGGACTTGACTTGGACTTATGGGCCAGTGACTCAAGACTCGACTTGGAACTTGACTGGGACTTGAGGTCAAAGACTTGAGACTTACTTGAGACTTGCAAAACGACACGACTTGGTCCCACCTCTACTGACCATCTCGTCACAGTGTTCAAGGGTTTCAGTTTTATTGTTTAAGGTTCCATTTTGAGGACTTTTGAACATTATAAAGAATATTTAGTTTGAATTGCTAATTGACAAATCATCACTATAAAACTGGACTCAAACTCAATTCATTTCTTTTTTCTATATTTCTTTGTTTATATAGAAAATATGAGTCTAGGCAAACCTTACTATAAGCCAAAGAAAAACAAGTCGGTCTGTATTATATAAGACTATAAAACTTTTAATTGGAATGTGCTGTTAAACTAAACAAAAGTAATTAAGTTCCCACGCCATCAACGTTAAAAATATTTACAAACAAGTGAATAAGACTAGAATTTCTTTGTGTGAATCCTTTGTGTGAAATCATATATCAAAGTTAAACATGCTATCTTTGGTGTTTACTGCCGTTACAAGTACTACAACTGAACAAAACATTAAAAAACTAAACAAAAAGCAACTTGCATTCTTTAGTAATACATTCCCCAACTTGTCAAAAACATTTACTATAATAAAATACACAATACTCGCATCTATAATAAGAATACTATAGTAAGAATAGCCTTACCTGTGTGTGTATTTGTGGCTGATTTGGTTGAAGTGTCCACAGAGGAAGAGAAACTCAAACACCAGCGTCATGTGCCCTTGTGCCGTAAGAAGTCTGCAGGCGTGGCATCTGGTTTAACTGGTCTGGGAGACATGGGCGACTCATGTAACCGGGCTCATTTTCAACAGACAATGATTTTGGTTTAGGGGCGGGGTGAAGAATTGCAAAGAGGTATGAGAGGATTTCAGAGTTTGATTTGAAAGGAAAAATTGGGTTCCTCTGTGGTTCGCAAAACTTATACTGATTTAAATCTACCTGTCAAAAGTTTTAGAACAGGGGTCTCCAACCTGTAGCTCGGGGGCACCCAGTAGCTCTCCACCCCCTTCCAAGTAGCTCAACAAGGGATTTCTGAATTGTAGGTACTGTGTTATAGGGCTGGGTATCATTAAGAAGTTGCCGATACGATACATACCTCGATACATAGGCCACGATACAATACATATCCCAATACAATGCACTTTTAATTCGATATAATATATTTCAAGTCAATTAGATTAAAAAAAGTCAGTTCAATTAAAAAAAAAGTCTTTGTTAGACCACTTCCTGTGCAAAGTTCATATGAAACACACGGATTTTACTCATCAAAACTGAAAATGTCAAATGTGTTGCATAAACAAGTTTTTTTCCTCTAAACAAGCAACAAAACTGTAGCTCTCTAACAAAATAATTGAGTAAAATACACCAAAAAATACTCTAGGCGATATATCTATACAGCAGCCTCAATATCAATACTGTATCATCACATTAAATGATACAGTATATCGATATTTTGATATTTTTGCACACCACTAGTGTTGAATATCAAAAATTGTATTAATTGCCATTGTAAATGTATACTTTTGATGCCTAACTAAATAAATAAATGAATAATGGTTTGTGTTTTATAGGTATCTAACTGTACTCCATCTAAGGTTTGTCGTGGAGTTTAAATGTACAAAATTTCTTGCTAACACTAAAATGAGTAGCTCTCTGGCATTTTTGTTTGGTAAAAGTAGCTCCCTGGAAGAAAAAGGTTGGAGACCCCTGTTTTAGAACATCACACTTTTTCAATTTTTTTTACTGTTTACTTTTAAGCAAAACATATTCTAAACTTTTGATTCATGAAAGTGTCCACCTTTGGCAGATATAAGAGCTGAACACACCCGTGGCTCGTTCTTTTTACAACAGAAATCAAATATTCTTCATAAAGTTCTTCCCAAGTCTGTTGCAGAAGTTCCCATAAATGTGTGGCACGTGTAGGTTTCTTGGCTTTCACTCTTCTGTCCAGTTCATCCCAAACCAGCTCGATGGGGTTTAAGTCTGGACACTGTGCTGGACACTCCATGTTTTCAAGCTTTACCATCTTGTTCTTTTTTCCTGAGGTAGTTTTGGCAGAGCTTGCACTTGTGTTTTGTATTTTTTATCTTTTTTATTAACCTCTGTCTGTTCAGTTTTTACCTTTGTACCATTTCAAGCTCTTCATTGGACCTGCACGACTTGAATTGCAATAAATAACTGGAAAAATTAGGGTGTTCTAAAAGCTTTTGATTGAAATTTTTTGTAATTTGCCTCAAAGAAGTGCACTTGATTCTTATGCTCTTAAGTTTTGCCCTGTTTTCTGCTTCTAACTGTAAAGACATGTCACTGTAATTGGTTTATTTATTTCAGACACAGGTATATTGTGTCATGTTTAAAGGTACGCTGTGTAACTTTTTGGTTGGGGGTCCATCACCTGCTTGTTTTCCAAAATATGTCATGACATTAAACAGCTCAACCTTAGATTTATTCAATTTCACGTGGTTTTATAGCTCAAAAACACCTAGAAACAGGCATTCTGACTGAGCGGGGTCACCTCTCCACAGATCTGGCTTGTAACTTGGTCTGGTTTGGTCTCCATGGTGATATAAAGGTTTAATACCATACTTTGAAACATTCCATACAAAGCGATAATAATCTCCATGGGGAAAAGCATTTGATGGACCCTTCAACAGAAAAGTTACACAATGCATCTTTAACATACAGAGACTGAAAAGGCTGAAGTTTAAGCTTAGGTTTAAGCTTTATTCCTTTGTTAAATGGAAACATTACAGCAAGGTAAAGCAAAGCTAAGAATCATAATTAATGTATCCACCCAGACATTTAAACTTCTTTTGAAACTTCTTTTCAAAACGGAAGAGAGTGGTACACAATTAAAGATCTTCTATACCAGGGGTGTCAAACTCATTTTGGTTCGGGGGCCGTATCCAGCCTACTTTGATCCTAAAGGGGCCGGATCAGAAAACTCATGGCATATAAACCCCAAAAACAGCAATAAGTTAAAATATTTGTGCAGAGAAACACAGATCTATTACAGAAATCTTTTTTAATTGATGAACTCTTTCTTTTACAAAATATTATAATATTATGAAAAAAATGCTATTTCAACACAATGTTTTAACATTAACTTGAATGCAAATAGGAATAAGTAAATTTTTCTTGGAAAATCCTGCTCTCGGTGTTCACTTTTCTCATTTTTGACATTTTGCTGATGAGGGTGGCACATTCAACAGTCAAAACGATCGTCCTTTAAGAGCGTTTGGAAAGAGGTAAGTCTTCATTTGTGCTGCTCTGGTGGGAGGGGCCACGTACAGAGGCACGGGAGACACTGCTATGCTAAGTGGAACAGAAAATTACCAATATTTTAATAGAAAATATGATTAAAATATTTTAGTAGAAAATCTGCCGAGGGCCAGATTAAAGGACTTGGAGGGCCAGATCCAGCCCCCGGGCCTTATGTTTGACACCTGTGTTATATACAGTTGTTTTAGAGGTCCACCCCTTTAGGAAATATACAAAATTTCATAATGTTTCTTCTGATTTTCTTTTTTATAAACATAGCTTTACCTCCAGTGTTGAGAAGGTGACTTTTAAAATGTATTCCCCTACAGATTACAGATTACATACACCAAAATGTAGTTTATAACGTAATCCATTAAATTACTTAAGGTGAGTAACATCATCTGAATACTTTGGATTACTTGATTTGCTGTAGAGAAGCAAAGATGAGGAAATCTTCACATAAGATGTTTTGTGTGATAAAAGAAAATAAAAAGCCCAAACTTTACTTAACCATATAAAAAATATTATTGATAGAAGAGGAGGAGACACGGTCCACACAGCATCGTTTAGTCCTGTTAAATCCTGTTTGAGACATAGTTTAGACCTGGTTTTAGTCCTAGTTTAGTCCTGGTTTACTCTTGGTTTAGTCCTGGTTTAGACATTGTTTTAGTCTTGGTTTAACCTGGTTTTAGATCTGGTTTTAGTCTTGGTTTAATCTTGGTTTAGACCTGGTTTAGACCTGGTTCAGATCTGGTTTAGACCTGGTTTAGACCTGGTTTGGACTTGGGTTTAGACCTGGTTTTAGACCTGATTTAGTGTTCGGCAATGAGTGGAATTACTGAAAAAGAAAAAAAGGCATTTAGCCCAAAAAGTGAAAACAGGAAAATACCTCTGTGTAATCCATTTATTTCAACCAAGTAACTGTAATCCAATTACCACTCACTTAAACAGTAACTGTAACTGAATACAGTTACTCATAATTTGTACTCTGATTATGTAACTCCGGTACATGTAATCTGTTACTCCCCAACACTGCTTACCTCTGAGCTCATATTGGCTATTTCGGATTTTAAACATTTTCAACAATAAGAGATCGTTTCTGACTTTGAACATGATGTAAATGTCCACATAGGTTCCATCGCAAAAAATACATTGATAAAATAAAAAGAAGAATTCTGTTAACTGGACAAAAGACTGTGGAGTGAAATAGGTACTGGATCACCCATTATAAGTTTGCACGATCCTGTAAAACATGACTCAGGGACAGTTCACACCTTAGGGTAGGACTTAACTCATAACCGGTACTCATTATTATGTAATTTATTATTTACTTTCTCAATACTTTTTTCAATTTGAAGTCAAGTAAGAAGACAGTAAGACTAATATTAAAACTACTACTAGTAATAATCATACATTTGTCCAGATTCGACTGCATTTTAGTCATATTTTACAAAAGTAGCTACAATTGGAACCTATAATTCTATATTTAGCATTGTTTATATTTTTCCATTTAACTTGTAGTGATAAATTCCTGCTAAAAAGTTACGCAATGTCCAGTGTCATCAAATAGACGCAACTGAAAACGTAGTTCCTATTAATAACATGAGATTGTGGAGATGCCCCACCCACACCCGTGATTCAGCTGCAGTGGAATTTTCCTTCACATCATTCAGTCTGTTATTGTAATGTTAGAAATATCAGAATTATAATCCCTAATATGAGTGCGCACTGGAAATTATAAGAGAATAATGTAATACTTTGACCCATGACGTCAGACAGGTTTTCAAAATGGCTGACAAAGACCATGCTGCTTCTTTAGTTTGAACCATGTGGTGGTGCAGGTGAGTTTCAAAGTTGTGTTTGCAGAAAACCATGAAACGTGAAATTGTGAAAAATGGATTACGTATCACACATTACAAGTTAAATCTCAAATTAATTGCATTGTTTTGTTTTTTAAAGCATTTGTTACAATATGAATATGTGATTGGCCAGTTTCTAAAGGATTTAAGTAACTCAGTTTAATCATGGTGAAAATGTGCTACACTGAGTTAACTGATTAATGATTGAAGATGTGATTGGTCACTTTTATAGCAAATGTAATCTCCAAAGTTAAACAAAATTGACCAGTCTTAAAGGTTTACTATGCAACTTCACTGGTGGAGGCCCCGCTACCTCCTTGTCTCCGTGGAGTTGTTAAAGCATATGGCATTTAACGGTGCGTTGTGTAACTTTTCTGGTGCAGAGTTTCTATGGATATGTCATTGCTCAGCCTGGAATGCTCCACAGTATGACATTAAACAGCTCTACATTACATTTATTCAGTTACAGGTGGTTTTAGAGCATAAAAATACCGAGAAAAACAGGCATTCTGACTGTGAGCAGGGTCGCCTTTCCACAGATCTGACCTGTAACTTGGTCTTGTTTGTTGTTTTGATAGACAGGTCTAATACGAAAAAATATTGTTTTTATTTACATCCGGCT